CAACAGCTGAGGAGCCCCCAACTGGATCAGGCCCTCTGGATAACTGAAACAGTTGATTAGCTTGAACTATTTGGGAGGCCCCCAGGCAGTGGGACCAGGACCTGTACTTAGTGCATGAGCTGGCTGTTTGGAACCTGGGGCCTATGCAGGGAAACTTTGCTCAGCCTGGGAGGAGGTGACTGGACCTGCTGAACTGAATCTACCAAGTTGAGCTGAATCCCCAGGGGAGACCCTGCCCTGGAGGAGATGGGAATGGGGGATGGTCTGGGGGGAAGGTCAGGGAGGTGGGAGTAGGGAGGACGGGGGAATCCATGGCTGATATATAAAATTAAATCAAATTATAAATTAAAAAATAAATAAATAAATAAATAATAAGTAAGCCATTAAAGAATTTTTTAAAAAGGTTGTCAATGTTTCCTCATCAATGAGAGGGATGATAGTTCTCTCCAACATTTCTACCCTTGTAGGAGAACCATGTTGGGTATGAAGAATATTTGCAGGGAGACTGGCTCCACAGTAGAGCTGCTCACTACTGTGACCATCACCATCGTTTTCACTATCATCATTAAGGGACTGCACTGCATTCAGGAAGGAAGAAGGCTTGAGAAACTCACCTGGGGAAAGTTGTACAGACCCAGAAGTCTGGCCATGGAGACAGACAGGGATGACCGCGTGTCCCCAACCAATGCAGCCTGAGGAGAGCCATGCTGGCATGTGTAGTTGGGGATGGGCTCCTCCTGCCCCGTGAGAAAGCTCATTGTCTCATGGAGGGCTCCATGCACTGTGTCCCCAGAGTTTCGAATAGAGAAGCCCAGTGTCACATTGGGCAGCAAGTAAGCACTCCTATTAATCTCCTCAATGGCAAAGACGAAACTCTGGGCCACCCGGTAGCCCCAGTTGGAAACCCTGAGGGAAAGAGAAGCCCACATTCATCATTCATGATGGGGTAAATGGAACAAGAATAAACACAGTGACTCAAGGGATACATGAAAAACCTACATCTTCACAAATACTTGTACACAGATGTGCAGAGAAACACAGTTTAGAACGCACAAAGGGAACAGAGGGAATATAGAGACAGTAATCAGAGGGGCAGTTTCAGAAGACAGGAGGGATAAGTGAAGATATATTAAATAATCTGGTGTGGTAGAACACTTGTTAATCCCAGCATTCAAACGTGAGTTCTTGAATAGCTAGGGCTACCAGAGAAATCTTGTCTGGAAAAAACAAAAAAAGAAAAAGAAAATAAAAAAAAATCAATGGCCAATGAAACAAAAAGCCATGAATGTGGGTCAGGGACCTGTATAGAGGAGGAAGGAAGGGCAAGTGTGAAAGGAAGGTAAGAAAGGGGGCTTGAGAATTAAACAAAATGCATATTATAAACATAGGAAAGCAACAAAAAATGCAATAAAATTTTCAAACATATACATACAAGGAACACTAAACTAACTCAACAGGTCACATTGATGTATTGATATATTTGTTTGCATATTTATGCAACAAAATAATTAAAGAATAAAAGGCCATGAACTGACACATGGGACATGTTGAAAGGAGAAGAGGGGGTTATATATGTGCATATACAAATATGCGGCTGTTCAGACAGAAAGACTCTGTTTAACCCTGGCTAGCCTGGACATCACAGAGATCCACCTACCTCTGAATCTTGAGTGCTGGGATTAAAGAAAATGCCGCCACATCCAGCTGATGTTGGTGTATTTTTTCTAAATGTTAATGTTGAGAGTAGATTTTTTTGTTTTGATGCAGAGTCTCCACACCACCCAGTCTGACCTCATACTCACTATTTAGCCAAAAATGACCCCAATCATCTTCTGTATATGTGTATGCATGCATGTACAAGACAGAAGACCTCTAGCATTGTGTTCAAGCATGGTGTGTGTGTGTGTGTGTGTGTGTGTGTGTGTGTGTGTGTCAGAGTTAGTATGTGTGTGCATGGGTATATCACCAAGGGGGTAAGGGCTGATGGGATGTCAGGATATCTTTCACAATTGCTTCTCCACCTTTAAAAAACATTATTCTGTGTGCATGTGTGTATATGATGTGTCAACAGACCAAAACATGCAACAACATATGGAGGTCAGGAAACACCTTTTGAGTCAATTCTTTCCTTCCTCATTTATGTGGGTTTCAGAGAGGGCTTAGGTCATCTATGAAGCTTGCATGCCAAGCACTTTACCCCATAAGGCATCTCAAGGGCCCCTCTTCACCTTATTTTGTGAGACAGGTTATATCACTGAACCTGGACCTCATCCATTCAGTAAGACTGGCCAGCTAGTGACCTTTGAAATCTGCCTGTCTCACTGTTCCTAACCAGGGTTACAGATTCTCAACATGCTGGGATCACCATGTGAAAACATGGGTGCTAGTAATTCAATCTCAGGTCTTCAGGCTTGCACAGCAGACAAGTCAACAACACAGAAATTTCCCCAGAACCTAAGAGCTTCACTTACAGATTCTCTTGTCTCCAATTCCCAGGTTGGATTTTAAATATTCACATCACCAAAACATAAGTATGCAATGTGGTGGGTGTGTTGGTGAGTTAATGAAATATTCTATATTGTAAATGCTCATTAAATACATCTTTGCACCCAAAAGACACATATAATTACTATGCATTTTCTTAAAAAACAACATGGGATCCAGGTATAGTGGCACACATTTGTGACTCCAGAAATCAGCTTATGGAGGAAGGAAGATAGTGAGTTCTAGGCTAACATCATCTACGCAGTAAGACCTTCTCTCAAAAAACCTCAAGGATAAGCCATTGTGGCCACTGTGTTGTTCCCCACCTGTAATCCTGAGTGTCAGGGCTAGTATGAACTGCACAAGGAGTTCCAGACTAGTCAGAGAACAAAGTAGGATACTGTCTCAAAAAAAAGTAAAATAAATGATGATAAATGTGAAAAATCAGTAGTGAAAATTTTTTGCATATGTAGCTGATTATAAAATGATGGTAGACAGAGCCTGCCAGCACCAAATTGGACTAAGAGATTGCAGCTACTCTCTAAGACAGAGCCCACAATTGCCAATTGGACTTAGAGCTGTTCTTTGAGACAAAGAATCCATCAGCACCGACTAGACCAAGAGCTCCCACTAGACCAAGAATATCAATCAGACCAAGAGATGCTCCCTAAGACACACACACTGCTAAGACCAAGTGGAGAAAGAGATGGGGTAGACGCCAGTGTAAAAATATACTCAACAACATAAAAACCAATATTGCTCTATCAGAGCCTACATCAGCAAGACCTGAACATCCCAACACAGAAGAAATTGACCTTAAAAAGAACTTTAAGAAGATGATAGAGATGTTTAAAGAGGAAATGAAAAATTCCCTTAAAGAATTAGAGGAAAAGTCAAACAAAAAATTGGAAGAAATCAGTAAATCCCTTAAAGAAAGCCAAGAGAAAGCAATTGAACAGGTGAGAGAAACAGTTCAATATTTGAAAAACAAAATTGAAATAAATAAGAAATAAACTAAGGAAGTGATGGAAGTGGAAAATTTGAGTAAATGAACAGGAACTACGGATGCAAGCATAACCAACAGAATGCAAGAGATGGAACAGAGAATCCCTGGCATTGAAGGTACAATAGAGGAAATAGATTCATCAAAAAAAAAAACACTAAAGCCAACAAAGTTGTAACGCAAAATGTCCAGGAAATTTGGGACACCATGAAAACACCAAAACTAAGAATAATAGGAATAAAAGAAGGAGAAGAATACCAACTCAATGGCACAGAAAATATATTCAATGAAATCATAGAAGAAAATTTTCCCAACCTAAAGCTGGAAATGCCTATAAAGATACGTGAAGCTTACAGACCAACAAATAGACTGGATCCAAAAAAAAGTCCCCTCACCACATAATAATCAAACCACAGAATAAAGAAAAATATTAAGAGATGCAAAGGAAAGGTAACATGCATATAAAGGCAGATCCATAAGAATAACACCTGATTTCTCAATAGCGAATCTAAAAGCCAGAAGGTCCTGGACAGACAATATATAGACAATAAGAGACCATGGATGCCAAATATTATACCCAGCAAAACTGTCAATCAGCATAGATTTAGTAAACAAAATATTCCATGATAAAACCACATTTAAACAATATCTTTCCACAAATCCAGCCCTATAATTTCTATAGAATTGAGAGTTTCTCAATTCTATAGAAAGCACTAGAAAGAAAAATCCAACATAAGGAAGTTAGATACACCCATGAAGACACATGCAATAGATAGTCCCACACCAACGAATACCAGAGACGGGAAACATATAACACTACCACCAAAAAATAACAGGAATTCACAATAACTTGTCATTAATATCCATTAATATCAATGGTCTCAACTCATCTATAAAAAGACACAAGCTAACAGAATGAATATGAAAACAAGATCCATCCTTCCGCTGCATAAAAAACACACCTCAACTTCAAAGACAGACACTACTTCAGAATAAAAGGCTGGAAAAAGACTTTCTAATCAAGTGGATTTAAGAAGCAAGCTGGTGTAGCTATTCTAATATCTAATAAAATAGACTTCAAACTAAAATCAATCAAAAGAGATCAGGAAGGACATTACATATTTATCACAGGGAAAATATCCGACAAAATGAAGTCTCAATTCTAAATATTTATGCCCCAAATACAAGGGCACCTACATTTGTAAAAGAAACATTACTAAAGCTTAAATCACACATCAAACCTCATACACTAGTAGTGGGAGACTTCAACACCCCACTCTCACCAATAAACAGCTCTAGCAGGCAGAAACTTAACAGAGAAATAAGGGAACTAACAGACATTATGACTCAAATGGACTTAATAGATATCTACAGAAGATTCCACCCAAACACAAAAGAATATACCTCTTCTCAGCACCCCACGTAACCTTCTCTAAAACTGACCACATGATTGGTCACAAAGCAAATCCCAACAGATACAAAAAAAAATTGGAATAACCTCGTGTGTCTTATCGGACTACCATGGAACAAAGTTACATTTCAACAACAACAAAAATTACAGAAAGCCTACAATCTCATGGAAACTGAATAATGCCTAATTGAATCACCAATGTGTCAAGGATAAATAAAGAAAGAAATCAAACATTTCCTAAAATTCAATGAAAACAAATGTACAACACACCCAAACTTATGGGAAACCATGAAAGCAGTGCTAAGAGGGAAATTCATAGCATTAAATGTCCATATAAAGAAGTTGGAGAAATCTAACACTAGTGACTTAACAGTACACCTGAAAGCTCTAGAATAAAAAGAAGCAAACTCACCCAGGAGAAACAAACGCAAGGAAATAATCGAATTGAGGGCTGAAATCAATAAAATAGAAATAAAGAGAACAATACAAAAAATCAATGAAACAAAGAGTTGGTTCTTTGAGAAAATCAACAAGATAGACAAGACCTTATCCAAACTAACCAAACAGCAGAGAGAAAGCATTCAAATTAACAAAATCAGAAATGAAAAGGGGGCATAACAACAGACAATGAGGAAATCCAGAGAATCATAAACTTCAAAAACCTGTACTCCACGAAATTGGAAAAATCTGAAAAAAGTGGACATTTTTTCTGAATAGGTATCACATAACAAAGTTAAATCAAGACCATATAAACTATTTAAATAGACCAATAACCCCTAAGGAAATAGAAACAGTCATTAAAAGTCTCTCAGTGAAAAAAATGCCCAGGACCAGATAGTTTCAGCACAGAAGTCTACCAGATTTTCAAAGAAGAGCTAATGCCAATACTCTTCAGATTGTTCCACACAATAGAAACAGAAGAACATTACCAAACTCTTTTTATGAGGCTACAGTTATCCTGATACCCAAACCACACAAAGATGCAACAAAGAAAGAGAACTACAGACTCATCTCCCTCATGAACATGGATGCAAAAATACTCAATAAAATACTGGCTAACCAAATCCAGGAACACATCAAAAAAATTATCCACCATGACCAAGTAGGCTTCATCCCAGGGAGGCAAGGATGGTTCAACATACAAAAATCTGTCAATGTAATACACCATATAAACAAACCAAAAGAAAAAAACACATGACCATCTCATTAAATGCTGAAAAAGCCTTCAACGATATCCAATACCCCTTCATTGCAAAGGTTCTAGATAGATCAGGAATACAAGGAACATACCTAAACATAATAAAGGCAATTTACAGCAAGCCAACAGCAACAACCAAGTTAAATGGAGAGAAACTCAAAGCAATTCCACTAAAATCAGGAACAAGACAAGGCTGTCCACTCTCCCCATCCTTGCTCAATATAGTACTTGAAGTTCTAGCTAGAGCAATAAGACAACAAAAGGCGACCAAGGGGATACAAATTGGAAATGAAGAATTCAAACTTTCACTATTTGCAGACGATATGATAGTATACATTAGTGACCAAAAAAATTCTACCAGGGCACTCCTACAGCTGATAAACTCCTTCAGTAAGGTGGCAAGATACAAGATTAATTAAAAAAAAAACAGTATCCCTCCTACATATAAATGATAAATGGGCTGAGAAAGAAACCAAAGAAACATCACCCTTTACAATAGCCACAAATAATATAAAATATCTTCAGGTAACTCTAACTAAGCAAGTAAATGACCTGTATGATAAGAATTTAAGTCTCTGAAGAAAGAAATCGAAGAAGATATCAGAAAATGTAAAGATCACCCATGCTCATGGATAGGTAGGATTAACATATTAAAAATGGCAAGCTTACCAAAAGCAATGTACAGATTCAATACAGATTCAATGCAATACCCATCAAAATACCAACACAATTCTTCACAGACTTGGAAAAAACAAAACTTAACTTTATATGGAAAAACAAAAAAACCTAGGATAGCTAAAAATAAACCTGTATAATAAAGCAACCTCTGGAGGTATTACCATCCCTGACCTCAAGCTCTACTATAGAGCTATAGTAATAATAACAGCTTGGTGCTTGCATAAATACCAAGATGTGGACCAATGGAATCAAACTGAAGACCCTGACATTAATGTACACACCTATGAATATATGATTTTCGACAAAGAGGCCAAAACTGTACAATGGGAAAAAGAAAACATCTTCAACAAATGGTGCTGGCATAAATGGATGTCAATATACAGAAGACTGTAAATAGATCCATATCTGTCACCATGCAAGTGGATCAAAGACCTCAACATAAATCCAGTTACACTGAACTTGATAGAAGAGAAAAAAAGGAAGTAGTCTTGAATGCATAGGCACAGGAGACCACTTACTAAATATAACAACAGTAGCACAGACACTGAGAGAAACAATTAACAAATGGGACCTCCTGAAACTGAGAAGCATTTGTAAAGCAAAGGACACAGTAAATAAGACAAAACAACAGCCTACAGAATGGGAAAAGATCTTCACCAACCCCACATCTGACAAAGGGCTGATCT